GAGTTCCCTGTCTGAGTGGCCGGGGCCTTGGCTTTTCAGTACTGTCCATGCTGTTGCCGAGCTGCCTTCCGGGCAGGTCCTGGTAGGTCCTGGTGGCACCTGTGGCTCTGGAGCTGGGAGGGCTGGGTCAGAGGCTTTTCATTTTGTGACAACTCTCCTCAAAGACAAGCAGTTCCCCTCACTCTGTGGGATGCCAGGCTCAAAGCCCTGGGTGGCCCTGGCACCGCCATCCGCACAGGTGGGGGCAACCCACGCTGCGCCTCCCTCCACCCCCCAGGACAGGCCCTCCCACCCCCACGTCAAGGGCCGTCTCCTTCAGAAGCTCAGCCTGGATCGACCCACGGGCCACGCACTAGCCAGGGGGGGTCCTGAGAGGGAACGCTGTTCGCCCACAGTCCCGGAGAACTCGGGGGCCTTAGTCACGTTGGATGCCAGTGGGTGGCTGTTAGTGTTGTTGTTCCTGCCCGTGTCATCCTCAGGGAGGTTGTGTCCCCTGTCAGCCCTGGAGCCAGGGTGGAGGAGGGTGACGACCTGGTGGGTTGGAACCTAGGATGGGTTGAAAGAGATCCCAGTGGGTTCTGCGGGCGGGGGGCCGGGGCGGCGCAGCACTGCGGCCCGAATGGGTGCCCTTTCCGGACCCCCCAGCTGTGGACTGTGGTCTGTCGTGAGGTGGGCTCGGTGTTCACGGTGACTCGTCAGGCCACCTGTCTGCAGAACTGTGTCTCGGGCTGGCTGGCCGTCAACCGTGAGGTCTTTCTGAGTCTGGCCTGTGAGGTCAGGCCATGGAGAAGGTGCCCCCGGCGCCTCCTGCAGCCGCTGTGCCCTGTCCGTGTGGGCACAGTGCCGGGCGCATCCGCACAACCCAGTGTTCTCCGGGTGCGGGTGAGGTTCCCACTTTAGGGCTCTGAGGCTGCACAGGGAGCGGTCGGGGGCGCGTCCTGACTTTGAGACGCTCATCGGGACTGAAGCGGGGGCACGAGCCAGGGGCCACCTCACCCCTTGCTTAGGGTGCGTGTGGCTGGAGATGGCCCACGGCGGGTTCCTAATGACGCTGGTGCCGGGGACCTATGACTGGTCTGGGGCTCTGTGCCTCCTGCGACCCTGGCGTGCGCTGCTGCGACCTCTGGCCCCCCTGAGAGTGAGCGCAGTGCAGAGCCATGGCCGCTGAGCAGGATGGCCCAGAGCTTGGCGTGTGGTGCCTGGACGCTGGCGGGAGCTGTCTCTAGGTCATCGCCTGCCCGGGGCAGCCCCCTGGGGCCTGTGGTTCCTTCCTTTGCCTCATGTGCTTTAAAATGAATGGTTTTAGGTCAGTTCTAGACCTGCTGGAACGTGACGAAGATGGCGCCAGCGGCCTGTCCCCTGCACACGGCTCCCAGTGGGTGTCTCGCCTTAGTGTGGTGCTCGCGTCACCCGAGGTCCCCACCGCCCCTGCTGTCCCAGGCCGCTTGCTGAGCGCATGGCACGAGTGTGTCACTGCTGTCTTGAGGTCCCGTGCTGGACATTCGTCACCTGCCTGGTGCCCCCCACCCCGCTGCCAGTGTCGCTCACCAGCCGTGCTAGCCCTGCGTTTCCTGCCATCCGAGCTGCAGGTGCAGGGGTGCACGGAGCCACCGGCACGTGCAGGGCCTCAGCACCGCTCCGGCGAGCCGGGGAGGCAGGCGCGCGCGTCGGGAGTTCGTGAGCATCCACTCGCTGCTGTGGGCTTGCTGCGCGCCAACGCCGCTGTGTGCCGGCCACCTGCCAGGTGCTGGGGCGTCACCCGCAGAAACCCCCTTCCCGATGGAGCTGACACACTGACCTCACTGGGGCCTCCGGCTGTAAACCAGCACACATGCCACCCCACAGTGGAGCACGGGACTGGGGCAGAAGTCACCGGGGGCCCTGGAGGAGGTGATGCCAGGAGGGAGACAGGGAGCCTGGGAGTGTCACATAGTAGGGCGGGTCAGGGCAGAAGCCCCGGGGCGGGCGGAGCCTGAAGGTGCAGCTCCAGGTAGGTGTGGCCCTGGGCAGGTGTAGCTCTGGCAGGTGCGGCCACTCAGATGGCGCCCCCAGCCTGTATGGCGACCAGGTGTCGTGACTTGGTAGGGACACGGCCGAACCCTTCCTTTGCACTCAGCCCCAGGGCGGGCCGAGGGCAGGTGGTCCCTAGATACCTGGCAGCCTCAGGCCAGCCTAATGCAAGCACGAGCTGCCCTGTCTGCCCCCTGCTGGCCCCTGTTGCTGAGGGCTCGAGCCACTGCCCTGGAAGCTGTCCTCAGGCACTGGCCACCTCAGGTCAGGCCATGGAGAAGGTGCCCCCAGCATGGACGCCTGACTAGGGCCGCCAAAGAGCTGTGGCTGCCCCTGTACAGTCACATACCACTTACCAAGGGGGACGTGTTCCGAGAAACGTGTCGTTGAGTGAACGTCACAGTATAACCTGTCGCACACCTGGGCTGTGCGGTGTAGCCACTGGTCCTGTGCCACCGGCCTGCATAGCACGTCACTGCACAAGACAGCACCAGCTTAAGTCAGCATAGGAGCATGATGCAGCCAGGAGACACGGTAAACGAGATGCAGGGGACACGGGGTAGGCACAGGATGGAGACGCAGGACACAGGCCTCAGTACTCGTGGGCATCAGTGCACCCACAGGACTGTGTAGGAGGTGACCCTGCACACTGTCCCCAGGGGCTAGGGAGGTAAGAGCCACACTTCCCGTCTGTCTGCGCTGGGCGCAGGGATGTCTGAGCCCAGATCCAGGCTGGCCTCTGAGCCCCCGCGCCCTCCGGCCACTCGCCGGCGTGGGAACCTCAGGCAGGAGTCAGCACAGCAGAGCACGTCAGCAGTGGGCATGGGGAGCACAGGGTGACACCCCTTGGGCACCTGAGGGGTCTGGTTCACCTTCCAAGGCTGCAAGGACACTTGAAACCTGTGTGCAGTGCCAACATGTCACATGTAGGGCTGAGCCCTGAGCCCCTCGGAGGGCAGGGACCCGTCTCGGCCACCTGGCTGAGTAGCAGGTGTGCAGGGACACCGGTGACTAGTGACGCTGACCGGGGGAGGCCCTGCCGGTCAGGGCCTTGAGGCCTTGGTTGCAGGGGTGGGTGTCGCCCCTGCTTTGGAATAAGCTTGTAGTGACTCTAGGAACCCGTGGAGCATGAAGAGGTGACGATTTAGACTTGGGTTGCAGGCCTTTTGGGGTCCGTGGCACTCCCATCTCTGCCGAGTGCCGGCTGTGAGGGGGCCCGCCCATGTACTCAGCTGCCATTGGCCATCCCGACCTGAGGTTGGTGGCCTGTGTCCTCAGGGGTCGCTGTCCCCATGCTTGTGGAGATCAGGGTGGAGTGTCGCCCTATCGTGAAGCAGTTCCCATGTCTTGGGTTGAAGGGTGACAGCTGTGACTCGCTGAATGTGCGACAAAGTTAAATCAAAGGAGGGTGCATCATTTCAACGTGAAAACATTCAATTTCCTGTGTTTCGTGTTTTCTTGAGGGATGAGGTGAGGGTAGCTGGCTGTGAGTCTGTATGTCGGGGAGCTCAGGGTGTGGGGGCCCCTCTAAGCATCAAGTCCTTCACCCTGGAGCCACTGTCCATGTGGCTTGACCCCAAGCACACATCTAGAGTGGGCGTGGAGTGTGACAGGTCCATCTGACTTGGCAGAGCTGGGAAGGCCCCAGGGCCCTGTCCTGGACCTGCCACCTGCCTGTGAGGAAATCTCAGCTGTGACTGAAGATCTGGGAGAGGAGCTCTGGTGGCCATGGCCGAGGGTGGTCCCACCCCAGGGGAGGGCCAGGCTGGAGCTGGCCAGCAGGGGCCTCGGTGCACGTGGCCACATGGGGCTAGGAAGGCTTGGCGTGGACCCCAGACCACCCACTGGGGGTCTGGTCCCCAGGACCTTCCTCCCACTGTGTAGCTCCAGTGCAGGGCCCACCATGGGGGAAGGGTCTGTGGTTCCCCCACGTCCTGGGGGGGAGCCATGTACCATGCTCCCTGTGGCCAGGTGTCCCCAGCCCCCTGGGAGGTGACGACGAGGTATGGGTATGAGCACGTGACTGCACAGAGGCATGTGAAGGGGAAACGTGCAGACTCGGGGCCACTGGGACGTGGGTGGCCCCGCAGCACTTGTGGCCCCTGGGACACGTGGCGGCCTCCTGCTGGCTGCAGCCCCAGCCCCGGTGCCACCCCCCTCCCTGTGGCCAGATGTCCCCAGCCCCCTGGGAGGTGACAACGAGGTATGGGTATGAGCACGTGACTGCACAGAGGCATGTGAAGGGGAAACGTGCAGACTCGGGGCCACTGGGACGTGGGTGGCCCCGCAGCACTTGTGGCCCCTGGGACACGTGGCGGCCTCCTGCTGGCTGCAGCCCCAGCCCCGGTGCCACCCCCAGGGTCAGGCGGCAGCCGTGTCGTCCCGGCCATGGTGGGGTGGGGTCGGGCCGCGCGGTCTCCCTGCAGGGAGCGGTGGGCGGAGGCCTGCTCGGTGCCTGCCGCACACCTGCGGCCTGGGGGCCTCGTCAGTCTGATGTCCAGCCACCTGTCGGGCCAGCCCTGTGGGGAGAACTGTGCCTGGACCCAGAGCTGGTTCTGGGGGCTGCCTGGGGGGAGGACGGCCAGTGCGTGTGCTGACCTGGGGAAGCCCATAGCTGGGGGTCGTGTGTCCTCGTATGCATCCTGTGGCCCCTCCGCCTGGTGGCCTCATTGGAAGTCCACTCTCTCTGTCCCGTCACAGAGGAAGCTATTGGCAACGTGAGGTAGAAGCTTCCAGACTTGGCTATGGACTGCGTGCAGGGCCCTCCCAGCTGCGCTCCCGGTGTCCCCGGGGTCCTGCCCGTGTTGGGGGGCAGAGCCCATGGGGTTTCCACGTGCATGGCGGCGACGCTGGGGCTAGGTCTTCAGGCTGGGCCTCGCTCTGCCTCCACTCCGGCGTGTCCCATGGTCCCGTCTGTGCTGGGGTGTGGGCGAGGATGTGGCAGAACCCCCGGCGTCTGAGGTCTAGTCGACCCCCGGCAGAGTTTTAACATGTCTTCTGTGTTTGATTTTTAGTCAGACTCGGACCCGGCGCAGGCTTCAGTGGTCGCCGTGGATCAGGAGCCTGAGCGCTTTGGTCCGACGCGGTTAAAGACGCGGGCTGAGCATCCGGTGACAGGACGCAGTTCTGCCGGGGACTCTGAAGATAGACGCTCTGAGCGGCCGGATTCATGGTCGTGGAAGCCAGGCCCATAGTAGGCGATGTCAGGTAGGGGCTCCCGGAGGGCGCAGCGGCAGAGCCGTCCCTCCGCCCGCCAGCAGCCCGGGCGCCCGTGTGTGCCCTGGGTGAGGGCAGCGCGCTGCCCCAGAGAGGGCTCCGTTTCTGGAGACGACGCCGGTGCCCGCGGTTGGCGGCAGAGCTGGCACAGGCCTCGCGCGTGCCGCAGTGGTGTCCTCGGGACCCGATGGAGCCGCAGGCCGGTGTTGCATTTGTTCTGGTCGTTCCTGTGGGGCTCGGTGCCGAGAGCTGGTCCTGCTCCAACTGCAGGGCTGTGAGCCCCGTGGCGAGGGGGCCGGCGGCTGAGGGCCCTGGCAGCCCCACGGTGGCGCGTCTCATCCGCTCCTCGCCGAGTCATAGTCACGGTGCCCGCTGCAGCAGCGGCTCCTCGCTGGGTTCTTCCCGCCCATCGTCCTCCCCCAGGCAGGCAGCAATGTCACATAGCCACCTGCTTTATGCCTGAGGTCACTAAGGACCCCGTGGTTCCCATGGGTTGTATCGATCGATGTTTTTGTTGATAACAAAGTCAAAGCAGACAAACACCGGTCACTAGGAGCTGCAGGAGACCGTTAGGCCCGGAAGGAAGGCACATTCCTGCCCTCCCCACGGGGCCGGGCGACGGGGGGCGCTGTGCGCGTGTCCGCACGGCTCTGCCGTCCGCCAACCGCGTCTCCTGGCACCCAGCGGCTGCGTATCACGCCAGGGTGGGCCTGAGGGCGCAGCTCGTGGAGGGACAGGGCAGGACCCGGGGAGGGGGCTGGTGGTCCGGTGTCGCGGCTCTTTGCCGTTGGCAGAGGCCGGGGGTGAGTAGCATGCCCTGCGGGAAGAGTGGGCAGTGGGGAGCCGGCACAGTCACCCCGCTCCGTGGTTCTCGGCCAGCCCAGCAGGTGCTGGCCACGCCACGCCCACGGCTGCACGGCCGTCCGTGGGTGAGGTTTCTCAGGACTGTCAGGTGACAGGGCTGGTGTGGCCCAGCACGGGGCATGGCCGTGCCAGGTGTCACCTGGAAGAGCCTCATGTCCTCACTTGAGCCCAGAGTGAGGTGTGCTGCCCCGTGCTGGGGGAGTGGGGCCTCTAAAGCTCTCACCCCACCGTGGTGGGAGGGTCACGGCTCTGGCTCCCCGCGGGCGTTCACCTTCCTGACTGCTCGGCTCCCGGCCCTTGACATTGACCAGGGAAGGTGACACACCGGGCCTAGGAGCTGGTCCCCATCGTGGTTTCTGGGCAGCAGAGAAACATGGCCACCTTCATGTCAGTTAGGACTTGCCTGTCCAGTGTCAACGTGGCGATGACCCTGTTGGGCCACAGAGACTCACGCTTCCCACGCTCGTAGGCTTAGCCCCTGCGCTCTGTGGGGCGATGTGGACGGTCGCTGCGTCCGTCCTGTCGGCTGTACTGAGCTGTAGCAAACGCTAGTTTTTCATGTTTCCTGCTGCTCTTTAACTTACTTTTGACAAAGACCCAGGTGCAGGATGTTCAGAGTAGCTCGCCCCGGGGTCAGCTGCACATGGCTCCGACGGCAGTGGCGTGGGGGTGCGGGTTTCGCTGGGGGCCGCGCTGCGAGAGGCTGAGCTTCCACCCCTGTCGTTGCAGGCGTCCGACCTCCGATCATGAACGGGCCCCTGCATCCCCGGCCCCTGGTGGCACTGCTGGACGGCCGGGACTGCACGGTCGAGATGCCCATCCTGAAGGACGTGGCCACGGTGGCCTTCTGTGATGCACAGTCCACGCAGGAGATCCACGAGAAGGTAAGCGTGCAGAGGGGCTCGGGGCCCAAGCAGGGCGGGTGGGCGGGGAGCAGGACCTGGCGAAACCCCACAGGGCTGGCATCATCACCTGGCCCTGTCGGGAGGTGGAGACGGGACGTGCTCTGTTCTCAAGTCATCTTCACAGTCACCCATCCCCAGAAGAGCCTGGGGGCGTGGACGCAGCGCACGGTGCTGCGAGCTGGCAGGCCGTGTCCTCCTGGCCCCTCATCAGCGTGGGCAGCCTCGACCCAGGAGCCTGCGGCCGAATGGCTGCAGATTTGGGGCAGCTCTCATGCCTCGTCTGCTCAGGAGGTGACAGGGTCCCCACCACGTGGAGTGTGTTAATCTGGTTTTCTGTTTGTAGTCACGCTGAGTTAGTCCTTCAGAACGACCTTCCCCCTGGGACGGGAAGAAGCTGGACAAAAGCTTTAGAAAACCTAGTGGCACCAGGAGCCAGCAGGACCAGAGGGGTTGGACTCTGGGCCTGCCAGGGTGGGCCTGGGCCACCTGCTGGACACGGGCCCTGCTGGATCACCTGGGTCCGGGTGGAGAGCCTGGAGGAAGGCTGAAGCGGATCCAAACGCGCCCGTGCACAGTCCGCTGTCCAGCCTGTTAGCCAGCACCCAGCCTTGAACCTAGGTGGCTGGCCCTGCACGCCGAGCCCAGGCAGAGACGGGGTGGCCGTCTAGGAGGGTGACCTCGGCCTCAAACTGTCTCTGTAAATCACCTTCCAGTGCGGCGCCCACCCTAGCAGGGTGACCGGGGTGGGGGGACAGCAGGACTGGGAGTGGAGACCAGCAGCAGCACTTGCTGAAGCCCCTGGACGGGGGGGCGGGGGGGGCGGCTGTAGCCACCGAGCTTGACATTCCAATGAGGAACCTGTGACCATGAAAAGTGACGCGGCAGATTTGGGTAAACCTCTTAGACGCTCTGGAGCTGGAGCAGCAGAGCTGAGAGTGGGAATTCACTGGGTGGGTGGGGGACGCGCCAGGGACCATGCTGTGGCATTGGCGCTTCTACGGAGACCTCAGGGAGTGAGGGAGGGGACATTAGAAGCATCACCTGATGAGACCACAACAGACAGTTCCCAAAGCTGACAGGAGCCACCAGCTGGAGGCGAGGACAGTGTGGCTTGCGGCAGAGCCACGGGTGCCTCGAAAACACCTGTGGCTTTCCCCACAGCTGAGCCCGCAGCTGTTACACACCACGTGGTCACACACCACGTGGTCACACTCTTGGTGCTTTTCCCAGAGAGCAGCAGCACGTCCATGGAGAAGCCCGCATGCGGATGCCCGTGGAGTGTCACCCTGACGGTCCGGGAGGAGTAGCCAGCAGTGCTGTGGCTGCACTCAGGCTCGGCTGGCGAGGACGAGGGGGCTGATCCACGTGCCCAGGCTGGAGCTCGGGCGCTGTGTGACCTTGTCTGGTCCCCAGTGACAAGACTGTGGTGATGGAGACCGGGTTTCTGGGGGCTCGGGGGCAGAGGGGGTTGACCAAAGTGCTAATATGCAGGTGTTCTTTGTGGTGACTCGAGTGACACATAAGATTACGTAGAGCTGCGTGTACACGCACGTGCAAGAAAAAGGTGAGCACGTGGGCCGGGGTGCCTGAAGAAGCTGGCAAAGGGACATGGGAACCCTCTGTGCAATTTTGGCAACTTCTTGTGAATCTCAAACTATTTCAAACTAAAATGATATTTCTAAAAATACCAATTTATGGAATGAAAAAGACACATGCAGATAGAAAATTTTTAAAATCATAAGCAATATTGAGGCAAGTTTTGCCAATAAATTTGAATACTAAGACAAAACAGATGGTTTCTTCTAAAATAGTAATTCACCAAAACTACCTCATTGAGCTGATATAAAACCCAAGTAAGTAAGATGACAGACGTTCTGGGGAGGGGACAGGGACAGGACCCTCAGCGTGATGGCCGACTTGCCCCCGCCCTGATGGACGGCCAGATGGACGGCGCCCCCAGCCCCTGGCCGCCCCGACCTCAGGAAGCAGAGATGTGCCCCCGGCCCGGGACGGTCTCACGCTTCGGGCACAGTGTCACGACCTGCTGAGTTAGTGTCCTCAGATCTGAAGCAGCTCCTGGCAGCACTGAGATCCGAACCATCAGAGCCAGAAAGAGCTGGGAAATTAAAAATGTGAGCAGAAACTTACATTTTAGCGGGAAGCTTTGAAGACACAGTCAAGAGAAGTGCAGGAGAAACGTGAGAACAGGAAAACGCGGCTGGCAGACCGCCGGGGGCTCCGTGCCAGCCTGCGGCTGCTTCCCAGGGGACACGCAGTCCTGGACGAGCACGTGCTTTCCTCAGCTTTGCCTCTATGGTGGCCAAGTGACTCAGTCCAACCAGTGAGAGTGAGGCGGCTCTGTGTGGTCACCTTCCTTCTCTGTAGCTGGAAACCAGGTGTGATGATGAACCTGGACAGCCACCTGGAAGGTGACGAGAAGCCATGTGTTGGGAATGGCGAGTGGCAAGCCAGGAGCCTGGTGCCTTCATGGCCGTGGGGCTGACACGGGACCCTGGACCACCCGTCTGCAGGCTTTGGCGTCACTGTGATCAGGGATTTCTACCTCTTCACAGCTCGTTGGCTGTTGGTGTTTTAGCTGCACGTCACAGGAGAAACGGGTGTCACCACCACAATACAGTGAAGAACATTTCCAGAGCTAAGCGGAGACTCCAGCCCCCTGCCACCAAGCCGGGACGAGCACTGGGACCCCATGGGACACTGCCACTGGAGTTCCAGGTTCCACCAGCGCCAGGGGTGGGATGTTACCTGCAGCTAGCTGCTCATCCAGTGGCAGTGGCAGAGGCAGGTTTTCTGTCACTCTTGGGAAGCTCCTTATATGGGGGCGCCTGCAAAGTAAGAGGCGGCCATGAGGAGGAAGACGGAATGAAGACACGGTGCTCCATGAGGCGGCCGCGTGGGGCGCCGTCCCCCTCCGCCAGGGCGTCAGCTGGTCAAGAGCAGGCGCAGCAGTCGCAGAGGAGCGTTTCTGCCCGGGGGGGCGGGGGGGACTGTCAGAAGTGAAGCACCCAGTCCTGGGAGGGTGCTCGGGCCACGTGACCAATGAGGTGGAAGTCCAGGGAAAAGGCAGAAGCAGCGAGTGGTGGGCTGGCAGGGGTGGCTGCGGGGCGGGCAGTGAGTGGAGGGGACACAGACCCTGAAACAGCCCCTATCCAGGGGCCCTGGGTACCTGGGAAGCGGCTTCCGTCTGCGGGGAAAGGGCTGGTGAGCCTGAGGCCACGTCGTAGTTGTGCCGTGTCCCTAAGGACATTAGAGGAACATCTGGAGGAGTGCGCTTGCTGTACTGAGGTCAGGACAGAACACTGTGACAAGTTCAGCTGAAAATGGCTGGATAATGGAAAAGGTCATTTGATTAAAAAGCAGAAACCACATGCAAAAGAGGTAAGACGTGAAGCAGGCGGGAGATGGGTGGGCGTTCGCAGACGCGTAGCAGCCAGAGGCTCAACAGCAAAACAGTGCCCGATCCCCAGGGAAGGGACGAATCAGCAGAAAAGGGCATTTGGCCAGAAACTGCCCGAGGGAAGCAGGCGACGCCATCCCCAACCCTGGGCACTCGGGGCACCCGGGGCTGCAGGAACACTGAGGGGCCCCGGCCCGAGGCGGCTGGGCGCTCGTGCTCACGAGGCGGACCCGGCCCTGCGGCCTCCTGCACACGTCCCTGGGAGGCTGACACAGTGCCCGGAGTGTCGCAGCCACTTTGCCTCCGTGAAAAGGAATAGGAGGAATGTGCGGGGACCATACACCTGGAGGCTGGCGTGGCCGGAGCAGCGCGGGGGCCTTGGCCTGCGGACGTCTGGACAGCAGCCGCTGCAGCGGCCTCTCATCCTGCAGCTGGGCGCAGGCCCCCGGGCATGGGCTGGTCTCTGAGGAACGTTCGAGTTCCTGTTCTGCGAATGCTTCACCTGGCGCCACGCGAGTCAAAGTATGCTCAGGATAAAAAGGACTAGGACGTGAAAAAAACAATTTACCAAGAAGCACGTGGGCAAGTCCCGCTCAGAGATGCAAATTAAAGCTACGAGCACAGATGCCAGTTTGCACCCATCACGTAGCATTTTACATTGCGCATGCCCAGCATTGTTGGCCCACCCAGGGCTGAGTCTGACCTCCGGCGTGTGGCCCACAGCCTTCAGGAGGGTTCTCACTTCTCCCGCTGGTTCCCACTTCTGAGAACGTGTCCGGGGAAACAATCACGCAGATTTTTGCTGCAGCCAACGCTGGGAGCAGCACGAACAACCCACACTGGGAGCGTCCGGACCAGCCACGGACCATCCATACAGGAACAGGGCACGAGACAAAGTCACAGCGTGAAGACCTCACTGCCATGGTTCAGTGCTCAGGCCTAAAACCCAGTGTGACCTGCATGTGCATGAGCCTGGGCTGTGAGGCTCGTCTCCTGGCCTGTTTGCACACTCACCTCAGCATGGGCCCACGGCTGGCCCCTGCCCGAGCCGCACACCGGGGCTCACCTCTGGTGCCTCTGGTTCTGACCTGTCTGTCGAGGCCAGGCTGCTCCGCACGCTGTGCATCCACCCCGTGTGGGCCCCCAGGACACGGCTGTGCCTGCCCCCGGCGGAGCCCACAAACCTGTCTCCACTCGGCTACACTGCCCGTCACTGGGTCTCTCCCCACCACCAGCCCACACAGCACGGGGAGGCCAGGGGTTCTTCCTGGGGGCCACCAACTGAGCCCTCCACCACCCCGCGGCCTCGCTATGCCCACCGCTTACGCTGTCCTCATTTTCTGTCCATCTCTCCACATGGGCCCGGTGAACCCACCTCTCGTGGTCACTGGCTCTTGCTCTGCCGTCACACAGGTCCTTTACCTGTCCAGACCAGGTCCAGCTGAGCCTTGGCACCAGAGGTCTGTGTGCTGGTGGGGCTTCGACGCCCTCCCAGGAGGCCAGGGACCGCTGTTGGGATAAGGACGGTGACCCCGCCCATCCAGTCCCACCCACTCAGCAGCCCCCTGCTTCCAGGGGGGTGTTTCTGGGGTCTTCAGCGTGGGAGCAGAGGCGGGCCCCTCCCTTCATCAGAGAACTCCAGGCTGCCTGTGCCTCTGCCCTGCTGTCCAGCCAGCTCCTTGGATGTGTCCTGCAGGCTGCCTCAGGGTGGCCATGTCCAGCTAAGACAGAGGCTGTACCCCACATGGGGATGGGACAGGCAGCAGTCTGGCTGTGGCGCCCGCATCCCACGCGTGAGCCCCGCTGTCTCGTTCACCCGATCAGCCCCGAGCCCAGGCTTCCTGGGTGTAGCAGGCCGCTCTCTCAGCTTGCGCCAGGCACCCTGGGGTCCAGCAAGCTGTGTACAGCAGGCTTCAGCCTCCCTTGTTTGGGAACCTGGGTCAGCACAGGAAGCTCAGTCTGGAGTGGGGGGGGGTAGCCACAGGTTCCCACTGACCACCATGTTTCAGGGACTTTGAGATGTCCTTGATTACAAGGCCCACCCGTATGTCCCATTGGGGAAGAATTAACCTGGTCCTCCAACTATGACATGCTGTGGATTACACCATGCCTCTGGCCCCTCCAAGAGGGGTGGCCACAGCTGCGTGGCCCGCTGTGCTTGGTCTGGGACATCGTCGGCCCTCCTGCATCTGGCCATTGCCAGGGCATGTCCCCCACAGACTGAGACAGCAGGGCAGGGCCATGCAGCGCTCTTAGTCCTGGGGTGTGGGTTCGCTGCCCTTTTCAACCCATACCAAGTCCCCGCAGAGCCGGGCACCCTAAGTTATTAGGGGTGCTGGCCGGCCAGGCTTGCACAGGCTTGGGGCACCGAGGTGGGGCTCAGACGCCAGCGAGCTGTGCTGCGCCCCATGAGTGGCTCTGGCTCTGCTTGGGGCGGCGTGGGCAGCCCTGCTGTGGAGAGGTTCGTGCCTTTGGCGGGCAATTTTGCAAGAAAAGCAGCACCTCGGTGTCACCTGAACACTTGGGAGAGGCTAGGACCGAGCTGCGCATGGGCTTCATGGGGAGTGGCCTCGCCAGTCCATGCGGACACCACTGGGCAGGCAGGACTGTGCTGGAGACCGTGGCCGTGTCCCCAGGACCTGTGTTGACCACGCTGTCCCACACGTCCAGAGCTGCACAGAGAGTGCGGCCTTCACGCACACACGGATCCCGCACAGGAGCCCGGAATGTGGCCCTCGCGGCGCCGCCCCGCCCCTGTCCCAGGAGGAGTGAGTTCCGGGACCCGCGGGCGACTGGGCCTGGTTCCTGCACGCTCAGCTTCCTCGTCCCTTCGCGTCCCGGATGAAACGAGGCGCTTAACTGCAGTTCGTTCCTTGTCATGGGGCTCAGCTGTGCGTTTCTGCCGGCTGCGTTCGCGGCTCTGCCTGGCAGCGTGGGGTCGCACTCCTGTTCCAGTGACAGTTTGTCGACAGGCCTGCAGCCTTCCGCTTCACTGCAGGGCCTGGGGCGTGGGCACCATGGCCTCCCAAAGCTCAGCATTCCCCACCCGAGTGCCCACGCCCGCCCGCACTGCATTGCCTCTGTGCCCTTCCTGTGCAGGTGGGGAGCAAGGACCCCTGGCTTTTTGATGAAGCTGAGAGAGTCGCTGGGTGGGATCAGGTGGCTTCTGACCCTGGAGAGCCTGCAGCGCACAGGGCAGGGGAGGCTGGCGAGGGGCTGCAGGACCCTCAGAAGCCCCAGCCAGGGCTGGACTTGGGGGGAGCATCTGCGTGGCCTCTCAGGCAGCCGGAGTGCAGGGGCAGCATGGGTGTGGGTGCCAGGGCCCCTGGGCCAGGGAGCTGGGACCCGGGGGGCACTCACCGCCACACCGTCCCTGCTGCAGGTGCTGAACGAGGCAGTGGGCGCGCTGATGTACCACACCATCACGCTGACCCGCGAGGACCTGGAGAAGTTCAAGGCCCTCCGGATCATCGTCCGGATCGGCAGCGGCTTTGACAACATTGACATCAAGTCGGCCGGGGACCTAGGTATGCTGCCCCGCCTCCTTCGCAGCCTCCTGTGGCGGGTCCTCAGCGTGACCTTGACTTTCCTTTACGATGAAGTGGATCCTGCTGCTGCCCCTCAGGGTCCGGCTGGAAGCAGCCTGCATGCTGGTACCTGTGGGCTGTGGTGTCAGTTCCTGGCAGGGGTGAGATCTCAGCAGCTTTCCTTGAAAGCCTTGCCCAGGACACATGGCCTCTCGTGGACAGCTGGCACACTGATCTTGGCTTCCACGCTACTTCCCAGGCAGCCAGTGCCCAGCACATCGTGTCTGTCTGCACAGAGCCCTGTCCACGAGACCCCGCAGGAAAGGTACTTGATGCTGTGTTAGGACACGTGGCCACGTGCACACGCGTGCGTGACCCGCTGAGACCGGCATGTGCTGGCCTCAGTCTGTTTTCCTCTGTCTTTTTGTGCCGGTCACAGCCCAGTAGGACGAGGCCAGCACGGGGTGTGGTGTAGACAGTGCCTCTGGTAGTCACAGCCCAGTAGGACGAGGCCACGCCAGCACGGGGTGTGGTGTAGACAGTGCCTCTGGTGTCCAGTGTCGCTTGCTCAGGGACCTTGAGTCAGAATGGCCTGGCCTGTGTGCTGCAAACGCAGGAGTCTTGACCTCCCATGTCCTGGGGTCTTCTGCTCCTCTGAAAGCCTCATGCCCACTGCCAACTTACATGAACAAGGTCTCTCAGCTCTTATTGTCACCTGTCCCTCATCGGTGTCCCCAGGAATGCACCTGCAGTGTCAACTTGGTGTCCTCAGGGCCTCATCTCTGCGCACTGAGTCGGCCCTCAGTTCTGTGATTCCACAGGCTGGGCTTTGTCCTTCAGCCAGGGACAGTCTAGGGCTGTGCCGTGTGGTCATCCCTCAAGGCCTGGCAGGTAGCGACCTGGAACCTGTCCAGCACTTTGTTCCAAAATCTAATGAGCGGCACAGCTTGGCTCCCTTCAGTCTCCTCCACACATTTCAGGGGAGCTGAGTTATTTTGGGGGGCAGAGCTGGATCCGTCTTGGGTCCTCTCGTGCAGCCCTGTTTGTGTTAGACACCACCCGGCCAGCAGGTGCCTCTTCACTGGGGAAGACTGTTGGGACCAGGGCGAAGGGGGCCGTGCACAGGGACAGCAGGGTAGAAGGGGGGCAGGTCCAGCTGGGGCACGAACCTGGGACCAGCGTCTGCTCACAGGAGCCGGCAGTGTGTGCACAGGCCACACGGAGGGTAATGGCACTGAGGCTCTGTGGATGAGAAGGCCGCGCCAGCTCACTTTCCAGCCAATTGACACGAGCAGCCGCTCCACTGCTGTGGTGACTTCTGCTGAGGGGCTGCAGGGGCTGAGAAGATGGGGACAACCCTGCCCAAAGCCAGACCCCACTGGCCTGGGGAAGCGCAGGAAGACAGGGCAATGCCTGTGCAGGTGTGGGTGGTTGTGGGGCTGCTCCAGATCCCAACCTGACCGTGACCCCTTCCTGCAAGGTTGAGTGGCAGGTGGTGCAGGCTGGGCAGAACCAGGTGTGGCATCTGCCCAGGCAGCCTCTCTTCCTGTCCCCCCCCACCCTGTCCACTGAGTGGGTGGCTTTTCCATATGGCATACAGCATGTACCTGCATTTGTCTCGTCCCCAGGGTGGCCTGGGGACATGTCCTCCAGCCTTTCACGGGTGAAGTGCCAGGATGGGGCTTCGGTGACTGCCCGTGCATGTCTTGTGTCCCCAGGCATCGCTGTCTGCAATGTGCCGGCAGCGTCTGTGGAGGAGACCGCGGACTCCACCATGTGCCACATCCTCAACCTGTACCGCAGGACCACCTGGCTGCACCAGGCGCTGCGGGAGGGCACGCGCGTCCAGAGCGTCGAGCAGATCCGGGAAGTGGCTTCTGGAGCCGCCAGGATCCGTGGGGAGACCTTGGGCATCATCGGACTAGGTGTGTTAGCCTCTGCCCTCACCCTCTGCGTGGCTCAGCAGACAGTGAGGCCACAGCTTGTCTGCTGCAGGACGGTTCCCCGAGCTGGGGACAGCATGGGGCGGAGGGTCTCTGCCACAGGAGCTGTGCTGGCCCCTATCTGCTCCAGGAACATCAGGCATGGGCCACACTCACACAGACACCACACAGGTGCCCACAGGGTCACATACACACTCAGCCACACAGGCTAACCCTGCCCTCCCCGCGTGGCCGTGGCTGAGTGGACATGGCCTTCAGGTGAGGGCTGGTCAGAGCTTGTCATTAGTCACGGGTCTGGGTAGAGGGAAGCACGCATGTCCCGCCACGCACTTGTGCACTCATCACCTGCCCACTGGTCACTCAGTAGGTGGCTGTCCCAGGCTGTCATGTTCTGGGTCCAGCACACGGTGATCCACAGCACCCCCACCCCCACCAGAGCGTGTCCCCTGAGCCTCTGTACTCTTGGGGCCACCTCAGCATGGGAGGCACACCTTAGGCCCAGAGGGTTTTGCTGCCCACCCTGAGCAGTGTGCATGCCTGGCATCACCCTTGGGCAGATGGGGATGCCGAGGCAGGGAGGGTGCCCCTGGCCAGTGACGCCTTCTCCCTGCCAGGCCGCGTGGGGCAGGCGGTGGCGCTGCGGGCCAAGGCCTTCGGCTTCAACGTGCTCTTCTATGACCCCTACCTGCCGGATGGCACGGAGCGGGCACTGGGGCTGCAGCGGGTGAGCACCCTGCAGGACCTGCTGTTCCACAGCGACTGCGTGACCCTGCACTGCGGCCTCAACGAGCACAACCACCACCTCATCAACGACTTCACCGTCAAGCAGGTGCGGGCCAGGCCTGGGGGCGGGGCCCGGGCGACAGGCAGGCTCTGCTGGTTGCTCCTGCTGGGGCCACCTCCACCTGGCTGAGGTCCAGTCCCCCACCTCTGTGACCCGGCTGCCCGGCCATGCTCAGGGGCATAGCCACTTCTATTTTCCGAGTTCTGCCAGGGGTGCTAATGGGCTGCAGGCTCACACAGAGGCAGAACAGTGACCTTTCGATGCCAAGTTCCTGGCACGTGGGACACACACAACAGCCGAGGGCTCTGGGTTTGCCCGAGGGCAGTGGTTTATACCACAGCTGAGGTGCTGGCCACTGGGCAGCCTGTGCCTGGCACGGCAGCTTGTAGCCCACATGCTCACCTGGCTCCCCAGCTGCCCTGTGTCCAGCGGGGGCTGGAACTGGGGCCACCTCCTGCCACTCCAGCATGTATGTGGGTCCCAGCGTGTGTGTACAACTTTGCACATGTGCTGCTCTGTCCACTGTGCTTACGTGCATGTGATGGCGTGTGTTCACATGCGTGGGCGTGTGCATTTACATGTGTGCACACGAGTGCTTCCTTAGTGTGTGCATGCGGGTGCCCCACAGCCCCATGGAGGACAAAGCCAGGAGCTCTGCCCTTTGTTCCCACCAGTGGGCTTGGGCCTCTGGGGCAGGGCATAGCCAGGGACACTGGTCAGAGCAGTGCCGTCCCTGAGAACCAAGTGTGAGGCCAGGACAGCAAACTGACCGAGGAAGAGCCTCCCCAACCTCGACCTGCCGGACGGCACCTGAGCCCATGTGGGGCAGGTTCAGCCAAGGTGAAACTGGGTCACGAGGAAACCCTTGCCCTGTGGGGAGCAGTACAGAGCTCCTGACCATGAAGTGGCCAACTTTGAGGGCTTTAAACAAAAATGAAAGAACCCATGAGTCTGTGCTGGAGTGAAGCGGGCTCAGCTACAGCCCCCCCCTTAGAAATGGGCCCCGGGCTGGGCCACCACGAAGACCCAGCTCAGAGAAGACACCCTGGGGGTTTCCGCCGTCATCCTGGGCTTTGGGGGTATTACGAGGTCCTAGGTCCCCACTACCCCAGGTGAGTGTAGGGTCAGGAGCCAGGCTGTGGTGGCCGAGTGCTTGGACACTCCCAGACACCATATGCAAATAGGGGCCAGGCCGGAAGTCCCCACTGCTAGAACGGACAGGGCCAGGCCAAGGGTTGGTGCACCTGCTCCAGCCAGTGGCCCTCCAGGTGGGGTGGGGTCGCTGGGCCGGCCTGTGGGAGCAGCCTGCATGCGCTGTCCCTGCCGGCCCTCCCTGGCCAGAGGGGTGGGGTAGGGGGGTGGCTCTGCTGGCTGACCTCAGCACCACTTTGTGCCTTGCAGATGAGACAAGGGGCCTTCCTGGTGAACACGGCGCGGGGCGGCTTGGTGGACGAGAAGGCGCTGGCGCAGGCTCTGAAGGAGGGGCGCATCCGCGGCGCGGCCCTGGACGTGCACGAGTCCGAGCCCTTCAGGTGCCTGGGCCGCGGCGTCCGGGCAGGGGTGCTGGGCTGGGTCCCGGGCACCTCCCTCCCAGGCTGGCCCAGGCCTGCACCTCCTGCAGAGCACCCGGGACCCCGTGTGGCCACATCTGGAGGCCCCACGGCCAAGAAGCCCATCTGGGGCCATCCCGGGGGGGCTCAGTCCTGGAGCACACAGTGGTGCCGGGAGAGCCTGGGTTCGGCCAGCCTGCAGGGAGGGCCAGGGCGGCCAGGGCAGCATTCCCAGCAGCTAGGCCCGTCCTGCTGCTGTCAGGAGCCCTGGGCAGGTCTGAGTGTCCAGGGAACCCACTGGGCTGGTGGAGGGTGGCTGTGGTTCGGGCAGGGGCGGGTGCTCTCTGCCCACCCCCTGACTGCGTGCACTGTCTGTAGCTTTAGCCAGGGCCCCCTGAAGGATGCACCCAACCTGATCTGCACCCCACACGCGGCCTGGTACAGCGAGCAGGCGTCCATCGAGATGCGCGAGGAGGCTGCCCGGGAGATCCGCAGAGCCATCACAGGTGGGCCGCGGGTCCCTCCGCGCTCTCTCACAGGGAGGCGTGGGGCCGGCCCACGTACACCTCCGTGCTTTGCTGGCTGGGGCTGGCTTCGGGGCGGACGTCATGGCCAGGGATGCACTGAGCCAGCCCTCAGGGCACACGTCGAGCAGCCCCAGGCCCTCCTTACGTGTTTTATTTATGATGCTGGCTCACTGTCACCCACTGGGGGATTTAGCGCATGTCACTCGTTAACCACCCTTTTAAAAAGTCAGACTGCACTTGTAAACGTTCTGGGTGGGGCCCCTCAGCTGCTCTCTGGAACTCTGAGATGTAGCAGACAGGGTGGGCCGGTGAGCTCAGGGCACCGAGCTGTGCCTGGACAGACAGGACCCCACTGTGCCTGAGGGGTACAAGAGGGAGGGACACTCACCACGGGGCTCCTCAGCTGTTTGACACAGTGCTGTCCTCCTTCTGCCTCCTGCGTCACCCAGGCCGCATCCCTGACAACCTGAAGAACTGTGTCAACAAGGACCATCTGACAGCTGCCACCCACTGGGCCAGCATGGACCCAGCTGTCGTGCACCCTGAGCTCAATGGGGCTCCGTACAGGTGAGCAGGCGGGCCAGGGGGACACCAGGGGTCTGGGGATGTGGGAGGCCTCCAGGATGTCTGTGGGTGGGGCAGTGGCCCAGCTGGGGGCTCTCAGGCCTGGACATGCGCTCACCTGGGCCGCAATGGACACAAGGCTGGGGCGTTACCCCAGCAGGGGTAGCCTTCAGGGCCTGGTGGACAGCAGACCATCGGGATGGAGGCCACACTGGGAGCAGGGGTCGGGGTCTGTGGGAGGGGGTGGCGGGGCCAGGGTGGGGTCCTCTGAGCAGCCTCTGCCCTCCTAGCTGCACTCAGTACTGCAGCCTCTGGACGGGATGGGGCCGGGCCCGGGGGCCCTTGCTGCCGGCCTCACCTGCCCTCCCTCCTCTCCCAGCAGGTACCCCCCGGGCGTGGTGGGAGTGGCCCCCAGCGGCATTCCAGCCGCTGTAGAAGGCATTGTCCCCAGCGCCATGTCCCTGTCCCATGGTCTGCCCCCCGTGTCCCACCCGCCCCACGCCCCTTCTCCCGGCCAAACCGTCAAGCCCGAGGCGGATAGAGACCACGCGAGTGACCAGTTGTAGCGCGGACGGAGCTCTGCAGCCTCGGCGTCCTCGGCCGGGCGTGTGTGGAGGAGGCGCCCGCAGCGACCACGGCGCTCCAGAGACTGTCCCGGCGACAGGCGGCGACAGGCGGCACCGGCCTCCCCGCGTCGACTGTAGTAGTCCCATCCCAAGGGCCGGCCGCTGCCCTGTGTCCTTTGCGTCCTCGTTAAGCAAAAGAAGTTAGTAGTTAATTCTATCATGGATGTCCTCGTCGTGTGCGGTCTTTAGAGCATCACAAAGGATTTGTTTGCTTAGCTGCCAACAGACAAGGCCTGAGGGGCATCAGCAGGTCACTTCAGGTTATTCCCTTTGTGCGCTGGGACGTGCCCGGAGCGAGGCAGCTGGCAAACTTCTCAGGACAATGAATCCTCCCGTTTTTCTTTCTACGCCACGCAGTGCATTGTTTTTTCTACCTGCTTGTCTTATTTTTAGAATAATTTAGAAAAACAAAACCAAGGCTGTCTTTCCCGATTTTGGCATGAACCCCGTGTTCCAAGTGAAGGCGGCCTCGCGCAGCGGCCGGCAGGGGCGAGCGGCAGGTCTGGCCGCCGGCGTCTGTCGTGGGTGTGATGGCGCGGTCCGGCCTGCGCGGGTGCCGTCCTGCTGATGTGGTAGGCTAGCAATATTTTGGTTAAATCATGTTTGTGACTGTAACCATTTGTATGAATTATTTTAAAGAAATAAAAACCCCAGAAAGAGCCGGCCGGCCCAGCGTCTGTTTCAGAGGCTTCGTCTCCGGGACTCTGGAAGTTTCGGTCCTGGCTCTCACGGCCTGGGGGGTGGGCAGTGGTCCCTGGGACCCTCCCTTCTGAGGGAGGCTGCGAGCCTGAAGTGCTGCGGGCACAGCGAGCATGGCGTGGTCGAGCGCTGGCGGCGCCTGGACGGTGGCCCGCTCGCAGCTCCAGGCGCCTGCGACCTGGGAGAGGAGCGGAGACCGCTGGTCCCACAGCCGACAGACGGCACCCAGCCCCGGGGCCGTGACCCAGAGCTGTGCCTGCTCGTCCTTCCGCTAGATGGTCCCTGGGCAGACATGGCCGTGTCCCCAGGGGCCTGTCTCTCTGGAGCCTGGCATTTCCCTCCCGGCCCCAGGGCCACGGCCGGGTTCTCTGCATCTCCGCCCTCAGCCTCGTGCCTCCGGGCACACACGCTTCAGTGGCCCCGGCACAGTTCTGCTGGGGACACGGTCCACAAACACCAATTCGAGAGCTTTAGGGAGAAAACGCCTTAGTTTCGCCCACACACTGGATTAGGTGTCGGCCAGGCCCAGAATTCCAGGTGAGGGGCTGTCCTGTCCCCACTCCACACACGTCACTGTCCTCGAGAGCAGTGATGCTCGTCGCCAGCACGCTGGTGTCTGTGGCTGCCGGGTACCGTTCTCTCATGGAGCTCGTGTCTGCGGGTGGGTCTGTTTCTGGATATTGCACTTCATGAGTCGGCAGATTTGTGTCTACTCAGTGCTGGAAAGTTCTCAGCCATTCTGTCTTCACTCGTTTCCCGTTTCTTCCCTGTTTTCTCGTTCAGGAATCCTGAACGATGGAAAATACAGCACATAAAACTGGAAAATAGCTGAAGTAATTAAAAGAAAACAGACTGAGGCCCAGACATTAGACAAGAGTGAAGGCCGAAATCAGAGTGAGTGTGCGCGCGTCCAGCGCAGCCAGAAAAAGGGTGACAAAGCAAACTGCAGTTACAGCTGGACAGAAATCAGACACGTAGGGCTGGAGCTGATCGAACGGAAAACGCACTCAGGAGGGTCCACGACTTTGGCAGCTGCTTCTCTGAAGAAGTCAGTAAAATCAAAAAGCTCTGTCGGGTAAATGAAGATAAGACAGGCACAGCCAGCCGTGCCCAGGAGCGAAGAGGAGGGTGGCATTACAGTTGCCAAGGCCACTAAGATGACGGGACCCTAAGCCTACACTGACACAAAACGTAAGAGATCCAAAAGCCTCTACGGCTTTAAAGGAATTGAACTTAAAAGCCAGTTCCTCAAAGGAAGTCACAAACGTAGGCAGCTTCAGTGACCTGCCAGGGACGCACAGGAGGCCGCACCTCCCACTCGTCCTGGGAGACCGCATTAGCCCACTTCAGGGCCTTGCAGAATCAAGGTGTGCAAGGGCGGACCGCCGTGGGGACTGTATGGGACTCCCCGTCTGTGCCGCTTTGGGACGTGTTCATTCTGCAGCCGCTAGTGTTGGTGCTGATGGCTCGGCTGGGCCTCGGCAGCGTTCGCAGCGGACGAGAGCTGACTCCCAGGAAAGGTGACACCCAGCCATAAATCGATGCCAGTGTCTGCTGGTAGACCGACCTGGCCCCTCTGGCTCCATTGGGGACAGCTGGAAGGTCCATCCCGGCTCGGAGCCTCCAGTGCCTTAGAGGTGCCACTGCGCCCACAAACACCTTTCTCAGAGACCATTTCCCAGGGAGCCCGCCTGCACCCTGCACCCAGCACAGCCTCTCCAAGGCGTACGGCCCCGGAGTGCAGATGCACAGCAACGAGACGGCCGCATTGGCGTTCGCAGCCGCGCGCACCCAAGCAGCAGCAGCCAGCCCGGCCCGTCCGTCGACGCCGAATGGCTGTATTGCAGTGCAATCCTCTGCAGCTGCGATCAAGAATGAGCACAGGTCCACACATGACATGGTGGGCTCACACACGTGACAGGAGAGGGACAGGCCACACACGGTGCCCAGCACCCAGCTTCCTCCGGACTGGAGGGCCTCGTGTCCAGGGGGCCATCTTCCCCAGACCTTGTCGCTGTCACTCTAGTCCACTCGGCCTCCAGCAGGTCGCTAGAGTTACCTTCAAGCCACCTACCAGCCACAGTTCCGATGGCTTCTGCTCCAGTGAGGGATCTCAGAGGGGATTCTGTTGTCACCTGTCCCCCCAGATTTCAGGATCGTGGTTTGCCCTGCAGCCTTGGTTCTGCGCTGGGTCCCAGAAAAGTTGTTGAATTTTCAGGTTGTCAGCTTTTTCTTTTAAGGACGGCAGTGATGACTTCTAGGCTCTTCACACGTCAGAGCCGAACCCGCCCTTCACGTTTTGACAGCCCGCTTTGGTCTCCCTCCCTTCACAGACATGTGAGCTGACACCAGCACCGTCACATCTGCTGAACGAGGAGCGAGCAGCCCCACCGGCCACTCTCACATCTGTGGCCGACCTGCTCAAGGGGACCGGCAGCTGTCACTAGACAGCCGCTGCCCGACGCCATGGCGCTGCCGGGGCCTCCAGTGCCCTTCCCCTGTGTCGTGTCAACACGCAGTGACCCCTGCGCCGCTCCCAGGACGAAGGTGCCTGGCACCAGCCACCCAGCAGCATAGGGCCGGCATAGGGCACCGGGCTCCGCGGTGGACACTGAACCAGGGAAGAACCACGAGGCTGTGTGAACGCTGTAAAATGCACACTCCCTCCAAATTTGCATGGACATCCACTGCGACCCCAGTCAGAATTCCAGCTGTTAATTTCAGCCAATTTGACAGTCTTATCCCAGATTCATACAGACTGACGACGGTCTGCCCTGGGGGTCGTGAGGCTTCAGCACAGTGAGACACAGACGCAGCTACAGACACGGGCGGGGCTCAGCTGAAGAGGGCCCGCCAGGCTGGCCCGGTGTGTGCGGCTGCAGGTGTGCAGGCCTACGTGTACAAGTGTGTGTGTGCACGCACCCGAGATGGGATCTGGGGAGCACAGGTCAGTGGAGGAGGATGCACCTTCAGCAAGGAAACAGCGGTGCTCCCAGGCGCAAGGCAGCTCCTCACGGGCAGATGGCACCTGGGCGGCCGAAGGCCTGGGCACACCCACTCCTACTGCTACTGTCCTCAAGGACAAAACTCGGGCCCTGGTGCAGAGTGAACAGGTGGCTCCCTGGGCCAGGGGCCAGGGGACTGCGGGAAGGGCGAGCCACAGCCCAGCCCCAGGCCAGGGCACCTGGTTACCTGCCCCCATCAGGCCGATCCCTTTAGGCATGTGAGGGGCCCAGCAGCCACAGCCCTCAGCCCTTGGCCTTGGGTCCAGCTGCTTCCAATGGCTCAGGACTGTGGAGATCCTGAGTGGGTGCCATCTGGGCCCTGGGCTGGAAGTTGGGGACAGGGTAGAGAGGCAGGCTCAGAGGAGACAGGAAGGGGGTGATGGGTCCAAATGCGCCAAGGAGCCCCCAGCTGCTCTCTCGCCAGGGCCCAGCTGGGTCTGTAGGATCGACCTTCCAGCAAAAACAGCATCAGGAAAACTGAGCCAGGGCCAGCTGCACCCCTCTTCCGGTTTCCACTCCCACGGCAGTGCTCTCGTGAGAGCGAAGCCATCTGGAGCGCTGGGCCAGCGCCCAGGGGAGGACCCGGGGCCCGAGACCAGCAGTGCTCCCTGGCTGCCTGCAGGCCTCTCTGCAGGCACATGCCTTCAGGCAGCCCGGGTCACGGCTGCCTTGCCCAGCGGCCCCGGCAAGAATGCTCGGCCTGGTCAGTGACCCTGACTCTCCAGCCTCAGGCCTGGCATGCCGAGGCCCAGGCAGGAAGGAGTTCATGGCTGCTGCCCAGCAGACGGCCACGGCCCCCTGCCATCCCCAATGGCCCCACCCTCGGGCAGCAGCCAGAGGGGCTTCCTGTGTAAGACTTGGTGTCTCCCGGCACGGTACAGAGACTGGGAAGCGCGTCTAGGAGGCATGAAAGGACGAGGTGATGCCACATGGCAGCTCCAGGCAGCCAGCGTGGCTCCTCTTTTCCGTGCGTTTACGAACACGGGAGCACGAACCACCCGCCTCCCTCCCACGGCAGCGGACTCGGCTCTTCCCTTTCACTCACCCGTGATGTCGGCGGTATCAGTGCCCGACGTCTGTGGTCATGGGTCACTGTTCGTGTGCCCGTCCACACCTTCCTCCCCGCTTCGCTGCTACGAACAGCGGGTCAGCCCGGGGACAGAGTTCCACATGGTGTGCTGCAGAGATTGACAAATTTACACTCTCAGCGCGACTTCCCCACAGCCTCTGGGACCCTGAGCTGCCAGACTTCGTGATTTGTCAGTGCAGCAGGTGAGAAGGGGCATCTCTATCCCAGCTTATTTGCTTTTCTCCCAGTACCAGTGAAACTGCACACTGCCCATGTCCCCATCCCCTATGAATCACCTGTTCAAACTATTTTCTATTGGAAAATTATGGCTGGCCTTTGTCTTATTGATTCATAAGATCTCTTTACATATTAAGGACATTGTATCTACCCTTTGTAAATATCTCATTTGTTGTTTGTATAACTGTTTACACACGCATTTATTCTTTCTTTGCCACTGGATGGCCAGGAGTGTCTGATTGCCCAAGCATGATGTCCCCTTCACTGAGGAGTCTGCTCCAGGCTCCTCGTACCCCATGCACGCTGCTTCCTGAAGCCCACCCCACCCAGACCCAGGATCAGCTGAAAGCCTGCCTTGCCCAGCACCTCTCAACTCTCGAGTCTGCCAGCGGTGGAGGCCAGGGCAGGGCCCAGATGGAGAGGCTTGAGTGCTCCTTGGGTGGTCAGGAGAGAAGAGCGCCCCCTGGAGGCCACCAAGGTGGGAGACAGTCTCCCTCCTTGCTCTGTTATGGACCAGGGGAATTTGGTCCAAGGCAGCTAATGTCTAATGGTCCTAACTGAGTCCAAAGCTAAAATTCTCCATGGAGGAAAACAGTCCCAAATCAACCAAGGGTCTGAGGCTGGTCAGCGCCTGCTGTGTGGTCCTCACGT